CATGACCATGGTTAGATTTTGGGTCGAGACAAGGTGGTATCAGAACCTAGGTAGCATAGGTCTCACGAGTCATGAGCGAGTTTAGTAGAGTCTTGCGGATCGGTACGAAGACGTCTGTACTTATTTTCGAGAGGCTACAAAACCTTTAGGAAACCTTTACCTTCTTGAATTCTTATCGTGCGGTATTGATTCAGCTTGAAGTGTAACTCTTTGAATTCCTTCCACGCATTCGTATGCGCACATGAGCGCTCGCTATTAGTTTTGCATCGACGACTTGTGATTTCCTAGATGAGGTGTAAGAGGTAATTTCTGTGTGTTGATGTTGGTCCAGTCTGGAGGACTTGAGGCCGGGTTTTGACTGTAGATTGAGCATTGAGGTGTTGATTGTATGAGCGCGTGCTTGTGGACCTATATGTCCGGTAGTGTCCCTATTAGTGGAAATGGTGGCTTGATGGATACGTGATGAATATGATGTGACCGCGAGATGAGTTCATATGCTTTGAATGTGACGAGAAGGTATTGTTGAAGGTTTAACCTATTTGAGACTCCAAGTATGTTTTTAGAATCATTCGAGGACGAATGTTTTTTTAAGAGGGAGAGGATGTAACGACCTGGTCAGTCGTTCTGAGAGTTATAGCCCTGTTTCCCCTATTTATATTTTTTTATGTGTTGTTCAAATGTGTTGAGTTGTATCGAGTTGGTAGCTTTGGATTCGGAGTAGTTTCGGAGTGAAATGATCACTTAATCTCTTAGTTAGAAAAACCAACTGGAAGTTGACTTATGCGTAAACGAACTCGGATTTGAATTTTTATGATTCGATTAGCTTCGTTGGGTGATTTTAGACTTAGGATTGTGTCCGGAATGTAATTTGGAGGTCTGTGGTAGAATTAGGCTTGAATTGACGAAAGTTGGAAGTTTAGAAGTTCTTAGGCTTGAATTCGGGGTTGATTTGATGTTTTGGTGTTGTTTTGGGTGTTCCGGAGGTTCAACTAAGTTCGGGTAGTGATATATGAATTGTTGGAATTATTGGTTGAGGTCCCAAGGGCCTCGAGTGAATTTCGAATAGGTTTGAGTTGTGTTGTGATCATTTTTCTTATGTTTCGACGACGTTTCTTTAAGCATAAGTGATATCATATTGAACAAATGAGCTCTGATTTCTTTTTTAATTGAATCAATAGATCCGTATCGTAATTACGGACCTGTAGCAAAAACAATCGTCGAATTTGGACATCGTATAAGGATTTTATGATCATTTTACTAAGAATTAGGTTGCCAGATTTTTCAGATTAATTATGAAATTGCCACTGACGGCGTATTTGAAAATCTACACTATTTGCAAATATTAAAACCTACGTATCTCATCCATTATAAGGTCAAATTGAGTGATTCAAAATCCTAGTTTGACTAGAATTTCACAAGGAATCCATTGGAGGCATAAAATACGAGTTTTGGGATTGTTTAGCATGGGTAACGAGGTAGAATAACTGGCAGAAAAATATATAAACTAGGGTTTGTTCATTCGGTCATATTTTGAGTTGGGGAGCTCGGATTTCGGCGATTTTGAAGGCGATTTTCACCATATGGATTGGGGAAAGTGTTCTCTACTCAATTTTGGTTATATTTCATGAATCCATCTTCGTTTTTGAGATTTGATTGTTGATTTCAAAGTGAAATTGAGGGAGTTAGGGCTTGAGTTTTAGAGAGTTATAAATAGGGATTTGAGGGACCAAACAGAGTCCGATTTTGATAAAATTTATATGGTTAGACTCGGGAGAGGATGAGGGTTTTGATTTTGCCATTTTTGACTGAATTCGAGATATGGGCAAGGGGGTCGGGTTTTGGCCGATTTTGTATTTTTGGTATATTTTATAGTTTTTATTGTGGAATTCGATTCTTTAGCATATGATGATGATATTAATCTGATTATGGTTAGATTCGGAGCTTTTGGAGACCGAGTCTAGAGACGAGGGCATTCCGGAATAGGATTTTACGCTGTTAAGGTAAGTAACAGTTTTAACTCTGACCTTGAGGGTATAAACGCGGAGAATTTGATATCATGTGATTGTTCGGAGGTGATACCCACGCTAGGTGATGGACGTGTGAGTGTATACCTTGAGGGATTAAGACTTGGTCCGTCCCATGAGTATAACCATCATTTTTGTTTACGTTGTTACTTGTTGTTGAACTTGTCTGCCTTCATGTTAGAGATCATGCTTAGGCTTTACTCATGCTCACATTATTTATACTCAATCATAGAAATTATTGTACATGTTTACCTCAGTCTCTATTATTTGCTAATATGTTGTGATACATGATGTGGATTGTGTCCCCTTATTTGTTGATGATGGTGAGGCTAGTGGGGTAAATGATTGAGTAAGGCCGAGGGCCTGATTGTGAGGATATTAATACCATAGCGTGTGAGTTGTCCGCGTAGCACGTGAGTCATTGCGCTTGAGTTGTCCGCGTAGCACATGAGTTGACCGTGCGGATCTAGGTATTGATATTATGGCACGTGAGCTGTCCGTGCTTAGCGCTTGGGCATTGGGAGCCCCTCCGGAGTCTGTACACACCCCAGTGAGCGCAGAGTGTTGAGCGTATTGAGTGTTGAGTGTTGAGTGTTGAGTGTTGAGTGCGAGTGATGAGTGATGGAGTGACATTTCTGTGAGGTTGCATTTACTTTTGTTGTTGCTGCATTTATCTGCTAAATTTCTTGGTGACACCCTGATGTTTGAGACTCGTTTTCATATTATATTATTTATATTTAGAGTTGGTTTAGTTTATCAGGAATTAAATTATTGGAAATATTTTATTAAATTCTTAAAATCAATCAATAGTAATATTTTGGAAAATGGGCTTGTCTTGTAACACGGCAAGCGCCATCATGACCATGGTTAGATTTTGGGTCGTGACATTAGGACATGATGTCCTTAAGTTTGAACTTTAAGGTTTAAACTTCATGACATCATATCCTAAAATTTGAATAAATTAATTAATCTTTAAATATATTTTAAACAATATGCTTAAAAATGACTGCATGGTGTCATTTCCACCAAACATGACCCAAACTCTACTTCTTTTTATTTGCTTTTAGGAATAGGTATGATTACTATCTTATAGTTATCTGCAAAAGAAATAATTAAGTACTCATAAAGTACAAAGGTAAAAAGAATCTAACCTTTTGATGCCACTGGTGACCATCATTATGCCTAGCTTTCAGCTTCATGCCTAGATAACAGCCCCACTTTCCTCTCTCACGTTCCCAGCTTATCCACATTATGGCTTTAGTTCGTTAAGCTTGGGCCATCAAAGGCATTACCTTGTCCGTACAAAATAAAATGAGGTACTGCTCATCAAATTCAGAATTTAAATTTAATATGTTCAAACTTGTACTAAATTTATTATACTATTAAAACTATGGATCGATATCTAACATTTGTTAAATTTTAATAGATTTATATATATANTCCGCCTCTGACTCATTATATGCTAGTCCGTTCTTATTAATTTATGTGATACTTTTCGTTTTTCGAAATTCAAACTATGTAAATTTTTATTAATATTTTAAAATAATTTTTTATCGTATTAATATAAGAAGAATTACAACTTGTAGTATTTTTTATAATTTTGAGATTTTTTAAATTCTAATTTTAAAATACTAAGTTAGATCTAATCCGATTTATCTTCGAACAATAATCAAATTAATTCACATAATTTGAGACAGAAGATGTACTTATTTTGGCTTTTCTTCTCCCAAAGGATTTGACTGGTGAACTGTTCCTTTGACCCCAACAAGACCATCCAAATAACTGTATTTCCAGATAAAAAACTACAGCGTGCATTTTAAGGAAGTGCAATTAAACAGGACATGAGCAAATGATAACGCGATGATCATGCGGATGCATTAGATATTTAGAAATTGGAGTTTAAATTCCACGCAATGATTATATATTTGATCATTTATAACATAATTACAAGTAATTATTTCGTATTTTCAGTTTATGTGAACGTTTTGCTTTTTGAATTTAAGCTATATAAACTTTGGTCATCAATTTGAAATGTATTTTTTCATCATGCAACTTGTAATTAGAGGCGGATTCAGGATTTAAACTTTATGGGTTCAGCATTTAATATTTTTAACATTTAACTCATTATATTTTTAAATCTATGAGTTCAAATCTACTATTTGTTTCAATTTTAGTAGATTTTTATATATAAATTTATGCTCCGCATCAAAAGTTATGGATTCAGTTGAATCCGCAACCTAATGCTATATATGCCCCTGCTTGTAATACTTTTCGCATATTTTTTGTATATCTAAATTTTAACTTTAAAATATTGAGTTAATCTAATCCGATTTAGCTTCAAAAATTAGTCAAATTAATTCTCGAAAAATGAAAAGTTCATATAAACGGGAATGAAGGGAGTAGCTATGATGCTAAAAGAAAGAATAAATAACTATGGTAAATATTATTTTATAACTTCATAAAATTATAACTAATATACTATCACATGTTAAAATATACTAATAATTGTAAAAAAGTCTTTACATTGTCACAGATATAACAAAAACCCTTAAAAATTATTTAAATTTAACCTTATACTTAATTGAAGATTAAATATCATTCTCGACAGTTCAAGAATTGTTTGAGACTGAATATAAAAAAAAATTCTCGTGTTAGTTGCAACAAAAATTTATTAAAAAAAAAACAGAACTTCTGGATGACTAAAGAAAAGCTGAAACAAGGAATAATACAATATGAAATTAGAGAGAAAAATAATCGATCAGAATATGATGGGAAATAAAATGGCGGGAAAAGAAATTGATGAACGTGATATAATTCATGGGATATGGTCTAATAGTTGTGAGCATAATGGAGCAGTTTCCAACTACATTATATTAAAAAAAAGCTGCTTCTCATCTTGTTCCTTAATTTCAATTATCTCCTTTTTACTAAATTAATCACCCAATATTATCAAAAAAAAAAAATTACCAACTTTATTTCATCATCCTATTCCTCGTGAACCCCAAGAATCTTATTCTTTCTTTTACTTTCTCTTTAATTTAGCTGTTATAATCACAGAAAACACACAGTGCAGCCTCTCAATTTCATTTTCTTTGCCATTTAAGGTTATTTGTACTACCTTGTATCACACAGTTCCTGCATTTTAAACCATCAACTTCTTTTCTTGGGACTTTTGTTGTCATGTTTTATATATTTTTTGGGTGGAGAAAAGCTACTAAATGGTTGGTATAACTGCTTTTTCTTCTTCTTCTTCTTCTTCTTCTTCTTCTGCTGTTCTTGATGCCCAAGAAATGAGTTAAATTAAGCTAATGTTAATGCATTTGTTATTTTTCTGTGGCAGTAAGAATTTGATTAAGAGAGTTAAGTGCCGGCTTAAGCTGCTGAAAAACAAGAGAAGTTGCATTATCAGACAGTTGAGGGATGATTTAGGAGAGCTACTCAGACATGGGCATTACCAAATTGTTTTTGACAGGGTACAAGCTATGAATTTTTAAGAGAGTTAGTCATGGTTTTTTAACGTATCCGCTGCTAGATTATTGGAATTCTTGACAGTATTAATCTTGCAGAATTTCAATATTTTGTTGTTTTCTTGAATTTTCAGGTTGAGCAGCTTTATATGGATGATAATATGTTGGTAGTGTATGAGTTATTGGAGAATTTCTGTGATTTTATCCTCATGAATCTTCCATACATCCGTAGACACAAGTAAGAAATTAATAGCATTTAAATGTACCTCAATCCCTATATTTCATGCCTAATTAATTTGGTATTATACCCTAAGTTGCTCTGACATGACAAGTTTAGGTACCGTGTCGACACGACACTAGTATGGGTGTGGGTATGGGCTTCGCACTGGATGTGGTCTAACACTTTTGGGTACTTTGACTACGGCGTAAAGAAAATTTTAGGACGAGATATAATTTGATTCCCGAAATCAGAACCAAAACTAGGGTAAATTTGAAGAAAATAGCATACCATATCTAAGAAATCAATCATTTATTTATTTACAACTTGAGAATAAAAACGAAATCCACACTTTACAAGCTATATGTAAGTATTCTACAAAATTTCTCCTAATTTAGAGATATTTTTATACTTTTATTTTCTTGAATTATTTTTAGCTGGATCCTCACACATATATCCGTACTAGAATCTATGTCTCCGAACTTAGAATTTACTATCTCGAAGGATCCGACCTCTAGATCTGCGTCTGTGTCGGACACCCGCACCCGTGCCCGAGCAACTTAGATTATAGCAAGTTATTAATCTACTAATTAATTAGTATGGACGGTCACTTATAGTTATATTTTAGGTGATCTGAAACTAAATATGTAGAAGTTAAACTCAAGAACTTTTGTCATATCTGCTTTGTTTCAGGGACTGTCCGAATGACATCAAAGAAGCAGTGTCAAGTCTCATATTTGTATCAGCAAGAATTGGCGATTTACCAGAGCTTTTAGTGATCAGGAAGCTCTTTACCGAGCGTTATGGGAAGAAATTTGAAACATCTGCCCTTGAATTACTTCCTGGCAATATTGTGAATCATCAGGTTTGTCCACATTTTACAAAGGGTTAATCTCTTGCAAACTAGAAAGTAAATCAAGGTTATAACCTTATTAACTTTACTTATTGTTTTGGTTACAGATAAAAGAGAACATCTACAGAAAGTCTGTATCAAATGAAGTGAAATACAGATTGGTTGATGAAATAGCAAGGACTTGCTTTCGACGAGGACCTTTGCTTCTTGAATACAGAAATGAATCACAGCATGAGATGGTAATTACTGAGCAAGAAAAAGTTTCAAATTCTGCTCGGTCTAGTATGTCGTTCGAATCTGCAATTTCTAGTCCTCAGGCTATAATAAAAAGGGATTCTTGGTTTACTTTGGGGCAAAAAACAGGGAGAAAAGCTACAAAATCCACTTCAGAAAGTTCAGATCAAATTGCCGAGGAGACGATTTACTTTGATGACATAGAGGAGTTTGAGTCCATTTTGAGCAAAGATTTGAATTTCCTAGATCAGAGGCTATTCATATTCAAAGGACCTCTCTTTCCCTTAATGTTAAAGATAGATACTGATATGAATATGGATATTTTTCCTGTGCAAAAGCCAAGATTTATCGCGATAAAGGATGCATCAGTGAAGGATCATTTGGAAAGTCAAGAATGTTGTTCCTTTACGTTCTCATCAACATCAGAAATGACAAAAGAAAATCAGCAGCCTTATTTGAGGACGATTACAATGCCAACTGAAAGGCCTAAAGATAATGTCGCGAGCAACTTTCTTCGATCAAATTCATTTCCGTTTCAAGAGCCTGGAAAAGGATCACCTAGGAATAGTCATGTACATCCTAAGCTCCCTGATTATGATGAATTAGCAGCTAAGTTCATTGCTCTTAAGAAAGAGAAATTGCAAAAAACTTAATTGCTTTACCATACCACTTCACTCTCTGGAGTAGATTTGAGTGTTATGTTGGTTTTATTCGTTATTCATTATAGTAGCATAAGAAATGCATTGCGCATGGAGAGTTAAGAGAGATGGAGAGAATGTGGTGTGTGTTTTCTCTTTCATTGTATTTTTTCTGCTAACTGTTTCATATAAAGTTAAACAGAGATAGTGATTTTTCTAAGTGTTTAACGTAAGCCTGTGAATATATGAGTTGAGAATTTAGAATTTAGAATTTAGAATCAGTAACCAGACTGATGAAGCATTTTAGCACGCTACATATATGACCAACCAATTAAGAGATAATAAAGAGTTACGATGACAAATAAATACAGAATATTCCAATTACCTTACTGAAGACGAACAATCAACCCTAACAATGTGAACAAAGTACATATATACACGTGCTTGCAAATTTCACCATGAACTTCAAAGAAAAATGTATGCTAAATTTGGGTTCTCCTGACATTTTATGAATGTGCAAAGTTACCATAATAGACTAAATAATTTTGCTAGTTGACAGCGTGTGAGAAAGAAACAAATCCTACATATGGAATACTTCAAAAAAATATAAAATGACTCAAAAGAGAAAATAAAGACAGATAGGCATGGATAACCTGACCTTGTTCGTGTTTTGGACATGGGCTTGTAATTTTCTCCTTTTACTAATTCGAATTTAATTTAAGAACACGATCAAGAAGAAGCACAAACAAATCTGACAATTGATTTTAAAGTTTCATATAGAATTGCAAAAAAGAATAAACTCATCATGAAAACTTCTTTAAGGGAAAGAACACATAGTCGTTGGCCACTGGTGGTAGATACCTCTTCGGCTCTTCCAATTCACTGCTTTTCTTGGATCCCCTTGATTTTCTTATCAGTTACAGTTTATTCATACTAAGATTTTTGAAGAAGAAAATGAATGAAGATTAATTGCCATCATAACCAAGAAGGTGTAGTTTCAAATTGCGACCATTATTTGTATTAATTATTGCAGCCGTTCCACTCTTTTTGGAAGAACATGATTTTTGAGAACATAAATTGCAATACTAAATTGAAGTTCCTATTATGATAGAAAGCATAATAAATGAAAAACAATCGGGTAAAAAGCAATAATAAAGGGGAAAAGGGATAAATGGGGAATCTCTTCCCCTCCCTTATTTAATATTCATAATGAATGTATATAATGAAAGATATAATTCAATTCCAAAATTTCCTTCTCTTCCTTATTTAACCTCATACCAATAATTATGTAGGAAAATATTTTAATAATGGAGATTGTACTAAAAATAGGATGAAAGTCCAAAAAAAAACAGGAAAAAAGATAACCAAGAATGCTGGTTTTTAGAGGACTGCCACATCATCCTGCCAATTCTCATCTTTATATAGATAGATATATAGATATAGATTTAGAATGTAAAACTTTTTACACCGTGTAAAGTAAACACACATAATAGTTTCTGAGGACTTTACAAAATCACTCTTTTCTTTAAGTTACCAATCTATAGTACATAATATAGACTCCTAGTAATGATTTACTTTTGTGAACTCATTTTATAAGTATCTTTCACACTCTCCGTAAGCAAAATATAATACTCTATGAGATTAGAGAAGAACAAAAGGGTGTGTTTGGTAACAAGGAAATTATATTTTATATTTTTTTTTTGCGTTTGGTTTTATTTGGAATTTAAGTTAAGGGGTAAGGCTACTCCCTCTCTCCAAAAATATCCCACTCCACATATTAGGGATGTGTTTACTTAAACAATAGTAAGGTTTCTAACATTTAGTTTTTCAACCAAATTATCAGTTCTTTGTCCTTTTAAGTTCTCAATTCCCTGATATCTTTATTTCTTCATTTTGTGATTTAGTATCCAAGAATTGTAATAGCAAATCAAAGAAACCTTTGGAAGAAGAAATGAATTGGCAGAGAGAGAACGGCAAAGACTTCAACACTAGCTTACAAAAGAAGATCAAAAGTCCAGAACACCAACTCTGTTTTCAATCCTCTGTTCCTTATACTACTCCCCCACACACAGCATTTTCTCCTCCTCCTCTTTCTTCTTCTACTTCTCGTTCGCCAAGAGTTGTTTTTCCGTTTGCTTTAGATGGAACTCAGCAATCCATTGAAAGTTTACATCAATTGAGATCAAACAGCACGCCTCTGTTTCATCCGACGCATCAAAATCAGCAGCAAATGATCTCATTTTCTGCTCAACACCCACAATACTTTTCAAGGGAATTGGGACCATTCCAGCATCAGCTGCAGCATTGTCATGAAACACTGAATTTAAGTCCAAGAAGGAGGACTACAATGTTGAATACGTTGGGACAGAGTAACAGGGTTCCCCTGTTTAGTCCTCTGTTACAGCATCCTTATTCAATGACGAAACTGTACAGAGGAGTAAGGCAGAGACATTGGGGTAAGTGGGTAGCTGAGATTCGTCTTCCTCGAAAAAGGACTCGTCTTTGGCTTGGCACTTTTGACACTGCCGAAGATGCAGCCATGGCTTATGATCGCGAGGCCTATAAGTTACGAGGAGAGAGTGCGAAGCTCAATTTTCCCGAGCTCTTCCTTGGTATAAACAAAGCAGCATCACCAGAGAATCTTCAGTTGCAACAACCTCAACAGCCACCATCTGGATGTGGAAATTTTGAAGAGGAAATAGGATCAAGTGAGGTTATAGCTATTGATGGAGTTCAAGGGAATGTGGAGAGTTGTGGTGCAACATTATCTGATTTTGAGGCTTGGTTAAACGCAATACCAGAAGGTTGGGGTCCAGGAAGTCCAGTTTGGGATGATTTGGACACAAACAATAATCTCATCTTGCCCCATAATATTAATTTTGGGGATTTCCATCAGCAGAAACCTCATAATTCCGATCTTCTAGGCACGATGAAGCCCTTAGGGTAACACACCGGCTTAGAATTAGACCTTCTGCAGAGGAGACACCAGACTTCTTGATAGGCCTGAGAAAGCTTAGAACAGAAGATTTATGTTGAACCAATGCATATCGTTGCGACGTTCTTTTTTATTCTTCCTGCACGCATAGGCCTCTCTCTCTCTCCGCCCCGCTTTTCAATATCCATCATTCAGCAGTAGGAGATTAATTTTTCAATGATCTCCTTAACTTCTTTCATAGGTTGCATATTTTTAGTCAGACCTGTGAGTTCACCATTCCATCTTTGTTCATCTTTTCCTCACTGGTTGCAGATTTTACATGGAACAACCTGTGTTTCTCTTTGGAGATCCTTTTGAATTCTCCACTTCACTTCCACTTTGCCTTTTAGTGATTACTTTTCCTTCTTACACCTGAACCATTATCTGCAAAATGGCTGCATATTTTTGCCTTTTTTGCAGAGGTAATTTCATTAGTTGGCTTTTACATCTAGGGACGTTATCAATATCAATACTATCATCAATATCTAGTTATGTTGTTTTACTTTCTTTTGGGCTGTTTAATTTAGTAGGTTTTGCTTTTATCAGCACAGATGGAAAGAATAAAAGTTTCTTTAGAGTCTGTAGACTTTACATTTTAATGTTTGTTTCAGACTGTGTCCTGTAATTTTCGTGTTGTCTTCTGTGAAATATCACTTCACCAGTTATCCTCTTTTGATCCAATGCGGATATTCCCAGTTTTTAAGTCACTATTGATGTGTGGTATTATTGCACCTACTGGCTACTACTATGTATATATACACTATGTCGATACCACAAAGTTAATTTATCTACCACAGTTCCTCGTACAAACCATTTAAAAGTCCAATTGAGACAACAAACCGACACTACTTTGCACAAAGTTCATGTTATTTGCTTTAGTTATCACTTAAACTGTTCAACCAAAAAATGGGTATTTCGGTCAAAGCCTATTTTTAGAAGTATTCGGGCTACTGATAATCAAGAAATTTAATATTCTCACAGTGATAAGAAAGAAAATTAGAATATGAAATAGCAAAGTAATCAATAGAAAGCAAAAGAAAGTAATTGTATTCCAATAATAATCAGAACGTGTCTGTACAAATGATATATCTTTCTCTTATATAGAAATATATAAGTACGACGTCTTTTCCCTTTTATGACCGAATCATTATGAGCATTAATGATATTAATCAGACGTTATAATTGGTAATTGCAACTATTCATGAAGATTCTGTAACGGTTGAGATCATTCACACTCATTAATTGATGATTCATGAATCTTTCATTTTTATTGTCTTGATTCATTCCGCTGGTACCTCTTCATGTAACCATTTAAACTTGAGCGAACATATTATTTCCTCTCGTGGGTGATTTGCTTGTATCTATTACGACTCGTGCCTCTTTTAATGCATCTCTCCAATTGTCGTTTTCTTAATGATCCATGTGTCTTGTCATATCAGCCACTCATATAAATCCACGTACAATAATTATTTTTACCAATACAGATAGTCCCCCCATTTGCCGAATATTCTGCAATTGAATATTTGGGAAGTGGTATGTATTTATGGCAGGAATTTTTGCCGTCGTTTCCCATGTATCATTATGTCTTCTCTAGAACCAATGCGTCGTATGTCACATCCATTTTAATGCATGTGCCACGTGGCCTTCGTTAATTGGGTCTACGACTCTTCAGCGATTTCTAGGGCTTTTTTGCGGCTGCATCAGTCATGAAGTGACTGTTTCATTATGATGTTTCCATCATGACCCCCTTTACATGACGATTACTTCTTCATATAAATACATCCTTTGCCTTTGCTTTGCTTTTACGAAAAACTTTCGACAGTGTTCTTTGTTCACAATAGTTCTCGTTCTTCATCACGTATTACTATGTCTTCTTCAAATCCGATCCTCGTAAAGTTTTTATAGTGGATGAACTTCCCCTTTCGTCTGCTCCTACCAGAAGTAAAAGAGGTGGCATGTTACATAGTTTAGGATCTGTTTCTATCTGTGGTTCTTCTTCTCAACCCAGTATTACTCCCCCTATCGTCTTCTAGAACTAGGGCTTCTTCTTCTCATAGATCTTCTGCTAGAAGTAGGGATTCTAATGAACCGCTTCGTGAACCCACTGTTGATGAGATTATTCCCGCTGAACTTTCCTTCTTTACTGATAGAGAATCGATTAGAAATCAAGTTACTTCTATGACTTCTGATGATCGCGATGATGTTTACCCTTTCCAAATTACTGAGGGTTTGATTTCTTTTGTGCGGAGAGACTGTCATTGAAAATATGATTTTCCAATTTTAGTTCCGAATGCAAATCAAAGGATTACATCATTCAAAGGTTGTTATTCTTTTGTGTATACATATCCCTTTACGTTGGGTTTTAGACCACCTATTGACTCAATCATCATAGAGTTTTGTCATTTCTTCAACGTTTGTTTAGGACAGATTGGTCCTATTGTATGGAGGGTTGTGGCATGCCTTAGATACTTGTCAAACTTGGCTGCTTTACCCTTCACCTTTTATCATATTATTCATCTTTATTCCCCCAAGTTATTTCGTTCCGGGTTTTTACTCTCGTGGCCAGGAGTAAGAGTGTTTTAGTAAGCCCTAAAGATGACAAGTATCGTGGTTGGTATGCCCGATTCATTGCTGCTCCCACAAGTGGGTTAGTGGGAGAAGAGAACATGCCTTTCCCAGAAAAGTGAAACTTTGCACATAAGTTTCTTTTCATATTTTCTATTTCTCTTCTTTTTTTGCGAAGAACCTGCAATCTCATAGCTCTTTTATTTTTCTTTTTCAGCAACCATGGAAGTTGTTGAGGAAGTTCTAGATTTCCGTGGTTGGGTAGAAAAATTGTTAATCGTTTCTCCTATGGAAGAAAGGTCCTGGAAATACCTTTCTAACAGGTTTGGATGGAAAATGAAGACTCATGGTATCTTTCTCTTCCACTTTCTACCTTGCTTCCATACTTACTTTGGCACTTATTAACCCCTTTCTTTACTAGGGTTTCCCATTCGGGGTGTAAGTGCCACATCGATTACTGCTTCGAGACTCTCTCTATCGATGGAACAAGAGATAATTTTGAGTTCTTCATCAAAAAGAAAAGCTGACAGAGCACACAGTTCCGAGAGTGAAGAGGAGCGGGATGAAGGCTCCTTGGTTCGTAAGCCTCGAGCTAGGAGACGTGTCATTTCAGATGACGAAACTACTCCTTCTCCTAGTTCTATTCCTACGCTTGAGCCTGAAGGTGCTACCTTCGTAAGTTCTGATGATGAGATGCCTGCCGCACCCTGTGGTTCTATTGAACAACTCTTTTCTCATGGGTTTGATGAAGACTTCGGCTTTATTTCTGAGGAAACGCCTCTTGCTTATTTTCCCGTGTCTGTTCGAGTTGATCCTCAGTTACCCGCACTTGTTGCTACTGCCAATGCTCCGCCCGTGGCTATTTTGACTCCCTCGACTGTTTCTACTGTTACAACTTCTCATATTGAAGTTGGTTTCTCTAGTAACAATAAGGTAATGAAAAATGTTACCATTGAGGTTCCTGAGGATGACAATCTTCTGAAGAAATCGGGGCAAGCTAATGTATGGATGAAACCATTGATTGGCTAGTTGAGAAGTCAAAATTGGAAAGCCACAGTTCTTTAATGTGGATGAATGATATCGTTCATTCATCTTTAAAGGTATAAGCCTTAGCTTTTTATTTTGCACGTGATTTCCTTTTCATTAGTATCACATTTTTCTTTTCATTGTGTAGATCAACCTCATTGGCACGGAGATGATGAAAAGGATCGTCCATACAGAGCAGTTAATGAACGATTATCGTATCAAGGCAGACAACTGGAAGGAGCAGTTCGAAGGACTTCAACTTGAAAAAGAAATCTTAGAGGAAGAAAAGTGTACCTTGGAGCAACAAGTGAAAGTAATGGAAACAGAGTTGGCAGTTGAGAAAGCCTCATCCAGTCAAGCAAGCAAAGATAAAGACCTTCTCAAGTCTTCATTTGTTGAGCAACTTTCCAAGTCCACTGAAGAAATTAAGGGTCTGAAGGAACTACTGAACCAAAAAGAAGTTTACGGCGGGGAACTTGTTCAAATGCTTACCCAAACTCAAGAAGAGCTTCGAGTGTCTTCTAACAGAATTCAATTTTTAGAGAGTTCACTTGCTCCCTTACTGGCTTCTATGATGCTGCCTTAAATGAGAAGGAAGAGCTTATAAGTGAGATTAAACAGTGGGAAAGAGATTATGAAGCCCTTGAAGATAAGGTCGTTGTTGATGTTAGTTGGGCTTTCTTGAACACACGCCTAGAAACTTTAATGGAGGCAAGTCGGGAAGGCTTTGACTTAGTTGCTGAGATTGCAAAGACTAAAGAAACTATTGAGAAACTCCAACAGAGTCAAAGCTTTTCTTCACCTGAGGTTGGCATTCCCGAGGGTGATGAAGTTACTCCTAGTGAAGCTGCTGTTCAACCTTCTTCTACTCAAGATGTTCCTCCTGCTATTGATGATGCCATTCTTCATCGTACTAGTTCAGATTCTGCCCCACAGTGAAAGTTTGAAAAGTTTGAAGTGTTGTTTATTTTTTTTTATTGGTGGAATATTTGGAAGTTTACCCCTAGTCCTATTTGGGGGTTTAGTAATGTTTGAAAAGTTTTACCCTTAGTCTGTTTTTGGGTTTTAGTATCAAGTAGTTGGGTTGCAACTAAGTTTATACTTAGTTTTAACCAAGTTTATAATATTACTTTCCAAGTTTTTGTCTAACTCTTATAATACCTTTATTTTGAGTTTCTGTTCTACTCTCTTATTGGTTTACCCTTGTCTTATTTCGGGTTTTGAAGATAAATGTTTGCCTTATATTTATAAGTTTGGGCTTTATTTTTCGCCTATTTAATGTTTGGGTTCTTGTTTTACTTAACTTTGCATTAAAAATGCTTCAATGCTTCGTGACTCTTTTTGAATAAGCACGAATTATAAAAGAGGGCCTTTTTATAAACAACACTTAATGAATAAGATGTCTCAACTTCATATTGGTATAAACATACGAAAGAAGAAGTAGGAACATACATATTTCTTAGAATGACTTGAGGAAGTTTTGTATTCTTGAACTTTTAAACTGTATACTTTACATGTACTCGAGTAACATCTACAACTCTTTCATAATTGTTTTCTTTATATAACAGATTTTACAAAATTGAAGGGTATATCTTGAAACCCACGACTAAATATTGTCTTTAACCAAGGGTATATATTGCAACCCACGACTAAATATTGCCTTTAACCTAGGTACTCATAACATTTTATAATTTACATCTGCGAGTGTATACTTCTGTCACGACCCCGGTTCGCCCTCCATGAACTATCGTAACAGCACCTAGTCTCTACGACTAGGTAACCCTAATTTGTGAAAGAAAACTAAAACTTGATGAAGTAAACAATTTAAAACAGAAATAAAGCAGTAACAGTGTATAAATGTGTCGCTCGGCATACACTATGTTTAACTCTCAATACCAAACATAAATCCAAGACCCGAAAACCCATGAAGCATAAGCTAAGAAAATAAATACTACATAGCTCAACTCCAGAATTTCTAGTAAAGAACAGAAAAGTACAGAAGGGTTAAATACTAAAGGCAGGAATAGAAAGGGA